GATAAGAGTGTGTTGGTCAGCCTTGCTTATTAGTTCCCTTTCCCTTGGAGACAGTCCTTATCTGAAGAGCCTTCTCCCTTTGTCTGCTTTCCTCAAGTGAGAGGATTACACATGGAGGGTTAAGGCCACACATTCTGGGATCAGACACTCCAACTGTGTATAAGTCTGTTTCTGTCATTTATCAGCTGTGTGTGACTGACCAAGGTATTTAACATCTCTGAACCTCAGTTTCTTCATTTGTGAGTGAGAGTGATAATAGAATTATCACAGAGGATTAAAAAGATTATTCTTGTTCTGGGCACAGTGGTGCTTACCTGTAATCCCAGCAGCTCAGGAGGATGGGGCAGGAACACCACAAGTTCAAAGCCAGCCTAAGTAACTTGGTGAGATGCTGTCTCAAAATAAAAAAGGGCTGGGGATATTGCTCAGTGATTAAGTACCCCTGGGCTCAATTCCTAGCACCAATAATAATAATCCTTGTCAAGAGCTTAGAATACTGGCTGGCACAGAGTAACTCTCAGGTGTGTTTTGTTTTTTGGTACCAGGCCTCTGAGATTGCAGGCGTGAGCCATTGTGCTTGGTATACGATGGTTTTTATGTAATCCATGTAGCTGTTGAAGCTCCTCCACTCCCCTCAGAACTGAGGGTTGAGTGCAGGGGTGCTATACCAATGAGACACACCCCCAAGCCCCTTTTATTTTTTGAGATAGGGCCTAGCTGAGTTGCCCAGGCTGGCCTTGACCTTGTGCTCCTCCTGCCTCAGCCTCCCAGGTCACAGGGGGCTATCCTTGAGTTGTCATCATCAGTCCTTATTGACTAGTTACCTGGTGCCCCTATGTCATTGGATGTCTGCACTGTTTCTTCATATATTTATGTTCTTTTCTGTCCCCTGCATGTGGTCTCAGGCTACAGCAGGAAATCAGATTGGTTTTGCGTTTCCATTTTGGCCTGCGTGTGATATAGTGCTGCGGTCATATTAAGTACAGTTCAATAATATTTGACTGGGTTTTAGGAATTTATGCATTTTCTTGATGAGTGAGATTTTTCTGCATTTAAGTGATGTTATAAAAAAAACTCATTCACATGTGTTTGCCATAATGGTACATAATGAATGGTAAGCTCTTGTCTTTTCAAAAAAGCCACAGAACTGGTTGGGGTGGCATGTGTTTAGTCTCAGCTATTTGGGAGGCTGAGGCAGGAGGTTGGCTTGAGTTCAGGAGCTTGGGAACCAGCCTAAGCAACATAGTCTGACCTCTCCCTCCTGAGGCTCTCCCCACAATGGCACCTCACTCCCAGATTGGGACGAACTCTGGTTGACCTCCTAGGGGCAGGGCAGCATCAAGATGCTTGCTTTCAGAGACGGGACCTCCATCTCTGAAACAGTTCTTCAGGGTCCGTTTTCTTGTCTGCGAGCATTTGCCATGCAGCTTGCATTTTCCTGCCTCTTCTTCCCAGTTCCTCTCTTCTCCACCCCCCATAAGCATCAGTCATCCTTTGTATTTTGAGGGCAGCTGGGAGCAGATTTAATTTTTTTTAGGTTGAAAGCTCATTTCTGCTTTACTTAGGGAGGCCACGTGGAAGGTTTTAAAAATGAGCATCTTCCATTTTCATAATGACCAGCAGCAGCTGCTCCTGTCTGTGAAGGAGCAGGTAAGTGGTAGGTGCCATGTCCCTCTGATCATCAAGGAGGAGGAAAGCTGAGGAGCAGGTGGAGCCCGAGGGATGTGCGAAAAATCCTGTCTGATGGCAGCAGTGTCTGTGCAGAGTTCACTGTGGTCCAGAGCAATCAGAGGAGAGGGGGCAGCAAGGCTTGCTGTAGTGTGGTTTTCCCCATCCGGTGACAGCCCAGCTTTACTTGTGAGAGCTAATTCCTGGTGTGAAAACCTAAACTTACAGAAATTCAGTTAGGGATCTTGATTGGCTTTATTTTATTTTATTTTTAATTATTTTGTTTGAGACATGTTTTTGCCATATTATTTTTTAATTTTTAAAATTTTTTATTCTAATTTGTTATGTCAGCAGAATGCATTACAATTCATATCATACATATAGAGCACAATTTTTCATATGTCTGGTTGTATAGAAAGTATGTTCACACCATTCGTGTCTTCATACATGTCCTTAGGGTTTGATTGGCTTTATTTTTGACTTTAGAATTGTACCATACTTCATTCCACAGACTAAGTGTGCCAACCTAGCAGAAGAGGTTAGCATGATAGATAGAGAAGGGGAATGAGGCAGAAACAAAAGAACAAAAAGTGGATTCTTTTCTCTGTGGTATTGGGAGACAGCGCAATAAGAAAGGAATTGGCTAGTTAAGTTCAGGTTATTTCAGGTTACAAAAGTGTAACAATTAAAGCTAGGGAACTTCATTATCATGCCCATTGAAACTGGCCTATTTGGGAATTTTTGCTGTTATCTCTTTAATCCTGATGAACTGAAAGTTCACCACATAGGTGGTTGACATGGAACATTAGCGTGTGGGACTTGATGTTGGTTTTTAGCCTGGTCTTTTTGGGACCCATTGCAGGAGCTTAGTCAGAAACAATAGCCTTCTGTCCCTTTAATTCATCACTGGGTCAGTCAGGAAAGTGGTGAAGGGATCACAGTCATTAGATCAGCACTTCCTGTGGGCCAGGCTCTGCTGGATGAACTCAGGGACAGCTGGGTTCGGGTCTCACTCAGCCGGACCTTGCTGGCTTTATTTTGCTGTAGGAAGCCAAAACATGGAGTAGCACAGCACCCCCAGCATTCACTCAGCACAGGTTGTCACCCTTTGGTGGACACTGTTGATAATGTATTCTCTGATAGCATTAGCCTCGGAGTCCCTCTTGGTACCACCAAATGGCTTCCTTTAAGGATCTGTGGAAGAGTTCTTTCCTTCTTCCCTTTACTATTTTGTATTTTTTAGTTGTAGTTGGTTGGACACAATACCTTTATTTTATTTATTTTTATGTGGTGTTGAGGATCGAACCCAGGGCCTCGCATGAGCTAGGCGAGCGCTCTACTGCTGAGCCACAGCCTCAGCCCTCCTTCTTTCCTTTATATTCGAATTCTTACAGTGGACTTGAAGCACATCTGAAAGCAGCATGATTTAAAAGGCCACCTTAGTAAGTGCACCTGTTTTTTTAATATTACTGCAAGTGTGACAGGCAGCCTGAGTTGCTGCAGCTTGGTTGGTACCTTGTACCCTTCGTACCACCAGGGAGTGGTTGTACTAAAATACAAAAGGGCAGATGACAATGGAGTGGCATCCAAGAATGCTTGTTTTTCCCTTGCAATTTTTAGCTAAATCTGGTCAAAGACAATGGTTCGGCTCCGTGAAAGCCCTGTTGCTGAGGAACAGAATGGACTCTTCAGTAGACACCTGTGCCTGGTTCCAGCAGGACAGATGCTGCATGGCTCCCTCAGCCGGTGCACCTTTTTATATAGATATATTTTATATAGATATAGATTTTATATAGATATATATTCATTCATTATTTATTTATTTTTATGTGGTGTCGGATGGAACCCAGTGCCTCACACATGTGAAACAAGTGCTCTACCACTGAGCCCCAGCCCCCAGCCCGTGCATATTGATCTACTTAAAGGTCATGTGACTGCCTGGAATAACCAACCCCATCGAAAATTAGAAAACAAGGAATATCCCTTGAAATGTACCCCTCACACACCTCCTCCACCTCCGCCCCTTGAAAACCAGTGATTTATTTGCTGAAATTCTGGTAAATAGAATCTTAACTATATTTTAGTGAAGTTACTATCAAGTTTGAATTTTAAATATAAAATATAAAAAATTAGAGCCTTAATATTGAAGTTAATATTAATTTGAGTTTGCATTATAGGTATTGCTGCTTGAATTAAGTTGATTTTTTTTCTTTTCTTTCTTTTTTCTTCGTTAACGAAAAAAAATTCCTCCAAGTATTAGAATACATGCTAACAAAAGAGTCTGAATTCTTTTTCCGACTAGATCTCTTTTTGCTAAATTGGTTGCCTGTTTCACCACAGTTAGGAATGTGGTTGTGTTGTACTTGTATGTGAATATTGGGATTGAGATGTCTGATTGACAAGGTCTCTTGTTTCCATGGGCAAGGGAGCCTCTTTTTACTGTTGTCATTGCCTCTGGAGCATGAGATTTGGGGGCAAGAGGAAATAGGGAATGAAAGGAATTTTACTATTTTATTTCATGCTGTTCTGTGCTTCTTTATTACTTTTTTAAAAAATATATATTTATTTTGTTTTTTAGTTATAGATGGAAATATCTTTATTTTTATGTGGTGCTGAGGATTGAACCCAGTGCCACATGCATGCTAGACGAGCACTCTACCTCTGAGCCACAACCCCAGCTCTTCTTTATTACTTTTAAGCTTGTGTTTTTCTTATAATTCATGAAGGAAAGTCATTCATGACTTTAGGCAGTAATGTTGACCAGCACTTCATTATTTTTCTGGCATACCTGGGAAGAAGGATTAGAAAGTCCTAAGGAGAGGAGAATGCTTCTTCTTCTCCTGGGGGTTGAGTGTTTCCGCAGAAGCCAGCATTTGCCATCTTGTTTTGGAATATTTGGACGTAAATACTGGGCATTAGGTCTTGTCATTTATCTCTTTGACTTTTTAAAACATCCTTTGCTGATTATTTAACCTCAGGTGAGATTAAAGTGAACTTCCATTTTATATTTCTTTTTACTGCTCAGTGGTTTTCAAAGTTCCAGAGCATTATTTTCTTGTTTTAGAAAATTTGAGTAGTTCCAAAAGAACAGATAATGCTTACCACCTGGAGGTAGCTGCTGGTTAATACTTGAGTGTGTTCATTCTGACATTTCTCCATGGGATTTATATCTGCAGGGCCTGCAATGGGATCATACTATGTGATTTTGCTTTTTTAATATCTACTCAAGTGTTCCATCTTAAGTGTGACAGGCCTGGCATAGATCTGTCAGTCTGGGGGACTGGAATGTGCCGTCCTTCTATCTGCTTACTGTCTCTCCTCCTGTCTTGCAGTGGACGAGTACATTGCCATCGCCAAGGAGAAGCATGGGTACAACATGGAGCAGGTATGCGTGTTTTCCTTGCTGTTGTTGAAAGTAGTTTCTGAGGCCACTCTATCAGGAGGCCTTCTTTGTGCTCAGTAGCAGCGCCACAGACTCAGGCTGCTTTCTCCTTTCCCAGGTGAGGATTAATGCAGAGTCTTTGATTTGGAGGTGGCTGTACAGGCTGTGCACTTCTGCAGGTCTGTAGCCTTGGGGCGGTGGTTACCACCTCGTCAGTAGGGAGATCATTGCTGGTGTGCAGCATTTTCTCCTTGGATTATGTCATTCTTCTGCATCTGAGATGTTGTTTTCAGACTTCTGATGCCACACACAAACCCATAGTGTTTTATATTCGTTGGTGGGAGTCACTTTCAGGTTATAGACCCTTGATATCATTTAGAATATTGGTAAAAAGTGTTTCTCTACAAAAGTGTAATGGTAATCTTATTTTATTCTTACATCTAATTACTGTTTTAAACATATTTAATTGGGGTCAGTGCTTCCCATGGCGTTGACCTGGCTCTTACTGCTTGTAAATTACTAGCACTTCCCATTTATACTAACGATCAAAGGCACCATGAGTTTAGGGTATGCAGAATTATACATTTTTCTTTAGGTTTGGCATTACTTTTAATTAATTAAAGGTATTTTTAGAAAAGTCACATTAGAGCCAGGTGTGGGGTGCACACTTGTAACCCCAGCTACTCAGGAGGTAGGACGATAGCAAGTTCCAGGCCAGCTTCAGCAATTTAGTGAGACCCTGTCTCAAAAGATAAAACAGGCTGGGGGTGTAGCTCCGTGGTAGAGTACCCTGGGTTCAATTTCTGGAATCCCTCACTTCTCCCAAAATGAGCGTTTAGCATGATCATTTTCACTTTAGAATTGCAATAAGGGCCTGGGCAAGGTGGTGTACACCTGTAATCCCAGTGGCTCGGGAGGCTGAGGCAGACAGATCGAGTTCAAAAACCAGCCTCAGCAATCTAGTGGGACCCTGTCTCAAAATGAAAAACATAAAAAGGGTTAAAAGGGGCTGGGGCTGTAGCCCAGTGGTTGGGCCCTTGCCTAGCACGGTGAGCCACTGAGTTAAATCCTCAGCACTAATTAAAAAGAAATAAATAAAATAAAGGTATTGTGTCCACTGACAACTAAAAAAAAAGATTTTAAAAGAAAGGGAGGGGGCTGGGAATGTGGCTCAGTGGTAAAATGCACCTGGGTTCAATCCCCAATACCAGTAAAAACAAACAACAGCAACAACAAATAGATAGATAGATAGGTAGGTAGGTAGGTAAGAAAATGATGTGAGAACAAAATGGAAATGTTAATGAAGATAAAACCTAAAATGAAATTTAAGAAGAACTCTGGAGCTAAAAATTATCATAACTGAAATGATGAATTCACTTGAAGGATTCAAAGATTTTGAGCAGGCTGAAAAAATCAGTGAATTTCAAGATAGAACAATTTAAATGAATTGAGTTTGAAAAGAAAAAAGGTTTAAGAAGGGTGAACAGAACCCAAGGTCCCTGAGGCCATCATCAAGAAGAGCCACCTAAGTACCTGGGTGTTCAGGAGATGAAGAGAAAGCACTGAGGACAGAATTGTTGATGAAATCATGGCCCAAACTTTACAAAGCTGCTGGAAGTCATGAATATCAATATCAGAGCAACTGAGAAGTCAGATAAGACAAACTCCTGCTCATGAAACTCAAAGACAAAGGTGAAAATAGCAAGGGGGCAGTCACCTGGCAGGTGCGCACGACTGCAAAACAATCATTTTTCTCCTCAGAAACTCTGCAGTCCCAGAGACAGGGGCTAAGGAATGCATTCACCATTCTGAGAGAGAAACTTGTCAACCAAGATCCTGTGTCAGACAACACTGTCCCTCAAAACTGTGAAGGAGTGAGGACATTCACAGATAAGAAAAAGGAGTTCATTACCACTAGATCTGCCTGTGGGTGGGGGAATGAAGGGACATCAGCCAGGTGTGGTAGCACATCCTGGCATTCCAGGGACCCAAGAGGCTGAGGCCAACCTCAGAAACTGAGCCAGACATGGTCTCAAACAAAAAGGCAGGGGTTATAAGTTTGTGGTAGAGCTACCACCTGGAATCAAGAGAAAGTGGGGAGAGGGAAGAAGAGAGGAGGAGAGAGGAAGGAAATTAATACTGTGTGATTTAGCAGTTCCACTGCCGGGTATGTACACAAAGAATCGGAAACAGGATCTCAAACCTATATACCCATTCACAGCAGCTAAAATATGGAAGCAGCCCACATACCCAACTGGTGAACAAATAAGCAAAATATGGTTTGTACTTACAACGGAGTATTATGCAACCTTAAAAAGGAAGTATGCTATAGTATGATGAACCTTGAGGACAGGATGCTATGGAAAATAAGCCAGTTGCCAAAGGACACACACTGCATGAGTCTCCTTAGGAGAGCCTAGAGCCCAAAAACAACATGGACAGAAAGTGGAATGGTGGTTGCTAGGGCTGGAGGAGGAGGTACTGACAAGGGGTTATGGTAGAGTTTCAGTTTCAAATGAGAAGAGTTGTGGATTTGGGTGGTGGGGATAGTTGTACCACAGTATGGTTGTTGTGTTCAGTGACATTGTACACTTAGAAGTGGTTGCAGTGATAAATTTCATGGTATGTGTATTTTATCACAATAAAAACTTGGAGTGGAGCCACTTCCAGGGTTTTAAGATGCAGAGAACTACTGATCTGTAAAATGGCAGATAATGAAAAAAATTGTGACTAGATGGGTAACAATGAGCAAGGAACAACATAATCAAAATTTCACAGACTCCTCTTCAGTCAGTGAAGAGGAGGAACTGGGAAGACAGAAAATTGTCCTGAGGTGATGGACACTCATTACCTTGTGGAATTTTTCTCTGTGAAAATGCATCATCTTCGGGCTGGGGCTGTAGCTCAGTGGTAGAGTGCTCACCTAGCATGTGTGAGGCACTGGGTTCGATCCTCAACACCACATAAAATAAATAAATAAAACATAGATATTAAAAATAGATAAATAAATAAAATAAAGGTATTATGTCCATCTACAACTAAAAAAAGATTTAAAAAAGAACGCATCATCTTGAAGGAATGGACCTCAAAATCATGGCACTGTCAAAGCATTGTTGTGTCTTTTTTTACTGCTGCTTGCTGTGCTTATAGCTGCGAATGATTTTGAAGGAAAACACCAACAGCATGTACCATGTGTGGAGACAGTTCCTTTGTGTGCCAACTGAGTAGGCTTATGAATCGTGTCTTCTCTTGGGCTTGGGACAGCTGCACACCTTTTTGCTTTCTCTGAGCCCACATATAGTTCAGTTACATTAGCTGGTTGTGAACAACTCAGCTAATTTTCCTGAGCCACCTATTCTGGTCCGGTGGTTTGCCCAGATGAAGAATGCTCTGAAGGAGCCATCTCTTTGTGGATAATCATCTCAGAAAGGCCTACATGTGGGGTCTTGGGCACAGCATTTGGAGAGACGCCTCCTTATTTCATAGCAAGGGCAGCTCGCTTCTCAGGTGGTGAGCCAGATGATGAAGGGTGTCAGGGATTTGAAGAGATGCTGGAATATGCAGAGACTGCACAAGACTTTGCCTCGCAGGCCAACCTGGCAGTGCAACTCCTAGTACAGAAGGGTGGATTGTTTTGAAATGTTGGCCTACACTTCAGTTCCTAACATTCTGTTTGATCTGACTGGAATAACACGGATATTTTCTTGGACCTTTTTGAACCTTCTTTGGTGCAACTCTGATTGGGAAAACAGTAATTAAAAGAAGTATTCAGAAACTCTGTTTTATTAACATGCAGCAAGCACATAATGGAGCAGCTGGTGGCTTTCATTGGTGCTGTCTCCAGCATAGGTGTGTCTCTGCAGAAGTCCTTCTGAGAAAACCTGGAGCTGCAGAAGCAGAATGGGTTTTCTCTCCTCAGGGAGAAAACCGGTTATCCTGGTTTTTCAGCCTATCAGGGTACAAGGTTAGGCCAAACAGTGGTTGAACTCAGAGGAGAAAAATAAATAACCAGAGAAAATTTTTAACTGCAGAAATTAGAATATATGGGTTCTGCCTTTAATCAGGAGGACTCCAAACCAGGAAGGAAAATTCCCTTTTCCAGCTGTATTAAAACTTTACAGAAAGCACACTAGTCCATATTTTGCATTGGCGCGCTTTCCTTCATATGTAGATCAGTCCACCTTGTCATTGTTTTAGGGCAGACTGCAGTGTTCAGCTGCAAACCAACAGAAACTGGCCTTCCTTTAATTACATTCAGAAGGCCTACATGGTACAGTTAAGTGAGTTCACACCACACCCAAAGTTCCAATGTATGTAAATTATAGATTGGATAACAGTCTAACTTTTTATGCCAGCCTGCCTCTGCCTGCCTCTTCACCCTCACAAAAAGGCCTTTGTATGATCTATTGTACACCCTCTGGCAAGTTGGTCTTTAAATTTTGAGACAGTATAAGGAATATCTCATTGGTGTCTCTCTTTTTTTTTTTTTGTTTCGTATTTGTAGAAGTCATGGGAAAACTTTATAAAAGACATCTTTGAATATTAAAAAAAAGTGGGGGGAAATGCGGTGTATGACAGTATCTTCTACTTAGCAGTATATATGAGTCAAGCATGTATTTGTCTAGATTTAAAGTCATACATGTTCTTCTTTTGCCAGTCTGACTTCCATTTTAGTGTTTCATTCACTCCATTTGTGCGGTCTAAGATTTCACTGGTATCATTTTTCTAGGCTCTTGGAATGCTCTTTTGGCATAAGCATAATATTGAAAAATCATTGGCTGATTTGCCCAACTTTACCCCCTTCCCAGATGAGTGGACTGTGGAAGATAAAGTCTTATTTGAGCAAGCCTTTAGTTTTCATGGGAAAACTTTTCATAGAATCCAACAAATGGTAAGTAGATGAGGCCACTGACACCCCTTCACCCCCTGTCAAAGAGTATACATGAATGATTAGGGCCTCATACTACTGGACAAATATCCCCATGTTCAATCAAGCTGCCTTCAGAGGCAGAAACATCCTAGTGATGCTCTGTGGGTGCCGGGCTTCATTGCAGAAGTGAGGCTGTTCCTAGCATTTCCAGCTCTCAGGTGGAACTCAGCTGCCTCCCATCTCAGAAGTTAAACCAACAGAAGGATCTCTGGTGATTGAGGTGGAGCGAGCTGGGTCCTTATTTTTCTGCGTGGGGAATATTTGCATATCTTTTACATTTAGAAGTTATTTGGTAGATTCCTATTTAAAAGCTTGCTTGACATTTGTATTAATCGTGTTAAAATGAACTTTAAAAAATTAAGCTAAAAGATGTGCTAAGGACATTGGTTATGTGAAAAACGGTTCACCTTAGTCTAACTTCACAATCTTTCATTGGCCAAGCCTACTCACAGGCTTTAGTAATTTGTAAATGCTTTGCATTGAAAGTGCATTTTGTCAGTTGTTTTTCCTTACCAGAAAAATGGGCTGTGTCTTAGGACATTTCTGAATATGTGAGTGTCCCTTGTTAAATATAACTAAACATGTTTGTGTTTTTAAAGATTGGCTTTAAGTCTAAACCAATTCTTCTTTGTATTTAGCTTCCTGATAAATCTATAGCAAGTCTGGTGAAATTTTATTACTCTTGGAAGAAGACAAGAACCAAAACCAGTGTGATGGATCGTCATGCCCGGAAACAAAAGCGGGAGCGAGAGGAGAGGTGAGCCTGCTGCTGGGGTGAGGGGTCATCCAACCACCTAGAGGGAAGGTGGGAGGGCTGTGCCTTCAGCCAGAGGCAGGTGACATGTGCTATTGGAGCACTCCTCCTCGGGCACTCTGCCTCACCATCCTGCTTGCTGGCAGTGAGTGGGCTTTGATTTTTGAGTGCATGGACTTTATCATATTTTTTTCCCCTACCCTTAAAAGATGGTTCCTTCTAATAGAAAGGGATCTTTTGTTTTATAGGTTGAAATTAATTTGGTATGGTAATTCAAGATTTATTTGACATGTGTATTTGGTTTGTTTAAAGAGCATACAGCTTAATAAAGGTAGTTCTAAGAGAAAAGTTTATGGGTTATGAGCGCCTACAGAAATAAATCAGAAAGATTCCAAATAAACAGATGATGCATCTCCAGGCCCCTGAAAAGAACAAACCAATTTTAAGACTAGTAGAAGGAAATCGATGAGAGCTGAAATCAATGAGATTGAGAATAAAAAAGCAATACAAAGAATCAATGAAACTAAGAGTTGGTTTTTGAAAAGAAAAGATTTTAAGCCCTTAGCCAAACTAACCAACAGGGAAAAAAAAAGAGAAGACCCAAACTAATAAAATTAGAGATGAAAAAGAAGAAGTCACCATAGACATCACAGAAATCAAGTGGATCATTAGGAACTATTTTTGAAAACTTAAAGTATAAGTTTTCCAATAAATTGGAAAAACCTAGAAGAAATGGCTACATTTCTAGATGTATGATCTGCCAAAATTGAATCAGGAGAATGTAAAAAACCTTAACAGACCAACAACCAGCAGTGAGATAGAAGCAGTAATAAAAAGCCTTCCCAAAAGAAGCCTAGGACCAGATGGATTCTCGGCTGAATTCTACCAGACCTTTAAAGAAGAACTGATGCCAGTGCTCTTCAAATTATTCCATGAAATAGAAAGAGATGCAACCCTTCCATATTCATTCTATGAAGCCAGTATCACACTCACATCAAAGTTAGATAAGGACACACCAAGAAAGAATACTCCAGACCAATATCCCTGATAAGCTTAGATGCAAAAATCCTTAATAAAATATTAGAAAATTGTATTCAATGAAATACTAAGATTGTACATCATATCCAAGTTGGTTTCATCCCAGAGATGCAAGGTTGGTTTAACATAATGCAAATCAATATCATAAAGGCTATGTACAAAAAAACCCAAAGCAACCCCATAGTAAATCAGGATAAACTGAAAGCATTTCCTTAAATCTAGAATAAGACAAGGACATCTATTCTCACCATTCCTATTTAATATCGTGCTAGAAATTCTAGACAGAGCAGTTAAGCAAGAGAAGGAAATAAAAGGGATAAAAATAGGAAGAAATAAAATTATCACTCTTTGAAGAAGATTATGATCCTACACTGAGAAGTTTAACAAACCAATTCAACAAAGCAGGTTATGAAACTAACATACAAAAATCAATAGCCTTTCTATATACCAACCAACAAATCTGCCAAGAAAGAAATCATAAAAATAATTCCATTTACTATAGCCTCAAAAGAAAAAAAAAAAAGAAAAACGTAGGAATAAATCTAACCAAGGAAGTAAAAGACCTACAATTAAAACTATAAAACATTGAAGAACACCTCAAAAGATGCAAAGACCTTCCCATGTTCTCAAATAGGCACAATTAATATTGTTGAAAAGACCTTACTACCAAAGGCAATACAAAGAGTCAGAGCAATCTGGAAGCATCATGATACCTGACTTCAAATTATACTACAGAACTACTGTCACAAAGACTGCATGGTACTAGCATAAAAACAGATGGATGGGCTGGGATGTGGCTCAAGCGGTAGCGTGCTTGCCTGGCATGCGAGCTGCCCGGGTTCGATCCTCAGCACCACATACAAAGATGTTGTGTCCGCCGATAACTAAAAAATAAATATTAAAATTCTTTCTCTCTCCCTCTCTCACTCTCTCTTTTAAAAAAAAAACAAAAAAACAGATGGATCAGGGCTGGGATTGTGGCTCAGCGGTAGAGCGCTCGCCTAGCACGGGCGGGACCCTGGTTTGATTATCAGCACCACATAAAAATAAATGCATTGTGTTATGTCCATCTACCAAAAAAAAAAAAAAACAGATGGATCATTGGTACAGAATAGAAGACACAGAAACAAATCCATACAGATAGTCATCTGATCTTTGACAAAGGCACCAAAATCTCATAGGGGAGAAAAGGCAGCCTTTTTGACAAATGGTGCTAGGAAAACTGGTTATATGTAGACTGAGACTAGATCCTAATCTCCTGCCCTGCTCAAAAGTCAACTCAAAGTGGATCAAAGACCTAGAAATTAAACCCAAAACTATTCAACTCCTAGAAGAAAATATCTGGTCAGCTCTGCAGCATATAGGCACAGGCAATGACTTTCTCAGTAGAACCCCTAAAGTTCAGGAAATAATGCCAAGAGTTAATAAATGGAATGGCATCAATTAAAAAGCTTTTGCTCAGCAAAGGAAACAATTAGGAATGTGAAGAGAAACCTACAAAATGGGAGAAAATCTTTAATAAATGGACAAATGAATCAAATAGGTACTTCTGTAAAGGAATACAAATGGCCAACATGAAAGGACATTAAACATCATAGCAATTAGGGAAATGCAAATCAAAACTACATTGATATTTCATCTCAAACCAGTCAGAATGGCAGTCATCAAGAATACAAATAATAATAAATGCTGGAGAGAATGTAGAGAAGAAAGAACACTTTTACCCTATTGTTGGGACTGTAAATTAGTACAACCACTATGGAAATCAGTATGGAGGCTCCTCAAAAGACTAGGCGTGGAATCCCCTTATGACCCAGCTATACCATCTCTTGGTATTTATCTTAAAGAATTAGTCAGTATGACACATGCATACCCATGTTTATAGCAAAACAAATCACAATAGTCAAACTGTGTGATAGTCAAGATATCCATCAACAGATGAATGGATAAAGAAAATGTGGTAAAGGGGTTGGGGTTGTGGCTCAGTGGTAGAGCGCTTGCCTAGTATGTGTGAGGCACTGGGTTCTATCATCCACACTACATAAAAATAAAATAAAGGCCATTATTTCCACCTACAATAAAACAAATGTTTTTTAAAAAAAGAAAATATGGTATAAAAGTCTTATCCAGCCATAAAGAATAATGAAATTATGGCATTTGCTGGAAAATGGATATAACCTGAGGTCATCATTTTAAATGAAATAAGCCAAACATTGAGCACAGAGTGTCATTTTTGGAGAATTCAAATCTCTGGGCCTGAGTGTAAATTGAGAGTGGAGTTAACTATGTTTTCTCATGTGGAACCTAGAGGGAAAAAGGAAAAGAAAGATTATGGGGAGGGATCTCATGAAAATTCTAGATCAGTACAACAGAAGAAAGGGACCAGGGGAGGGAAAAGGGGAGGGAGGGAGGAAGTGGGGGGTGATGTTGTCCAAATTGTGTGCATGTAAAAATATGTAACAACAGATACTATCATTAGTACAACTATAATGCACCAATTTAAAAAATGGAAAAAAATATTAAACCGATAAACACAAAAAATACAGTTTACTTCCTCTTTCTTTTATTGTCCATTATGTGTGAGAATGAGAAGTTCTTTTTTTTTCCATGTGTTGGGGGTGGAACTCGGTCGGGCCCTAACATGCTAGGCAAGCCTAGACACTGAGCCACACCAGCCAGGTATTATTCTAGATAGCTCATTAAGCTGCAGTAAGGGTGTGCTGAGTTAAGCTGTGTAGAACCATCTCCCCTCTTCCCCAAGCCTGTCTCCTCAACTGTGAACTGAAAAGGCTTGAGGCCCAGAAGGCAGTGCACACAAGGCTCTTCTCTTAGAATGATGGGACTACATGGAGGCTTTTAAAAAATTATATTTCCCACATTTTCTAGAGTATATTTTCATAAACTAATAATAAAAAATAAAATGGAAAATGAACTTTATGGTACCCAAACTTCCTTCTCAGGATAGTATTATTTTAAATGAAAAGAGAGTATCATACAAGAATACAGAGTGTCATTTTTGGAAAATTCAAATCTCTAGGCCTGAGGGTAAATTGAGAGTGGAGTTAAGAACATCTCTAAGGCTCTTTGAAGATACGAGATTCAAGCCACAATAAAACTGCTGACCTGGGTACATCTGCATGTTCTTGGACATTCATACCAGTGAATGTCCTTTTAGGGGTCACTAATCTTAGTTTTTTTGATTAAATTTTCATTTCCTTCATACGTTAGGTCTAGTGTATTGTTTATAAATGGGGTCTGGCATCACAATCAGCAGAGTTAAGTAGAGTGAATTGCTTATCTTGAGTAAGACATGGGAGCACTGGCTGACACTTGTCTGTGCTCACCGCCCAGGTGCTGTTCCTTGTATTATGCTGTAGGTGGCAAGAATTGCTGTGCTCTCCTGCCCCTCTGTCGCACCGCGATGGGGACACACAGCCACAGCAGTTGCACCTGAGAGGTGGCTAACCTCCCAAGGGACCTGCCTGTGAAGTAGTGGCAGAGTCTGGGCAGGTTCCCTCAACCCCAGGCTCTTCTCGCACACTCCCCTCTGCCAGAACTGCTTGAAGCCTTGCCACTGGCCGGGAAGGGGTTGCAGGATAGTAGGTGTATTCAGTTGGGGTGGATTCTGGAGGTCCAGTGGGAGGAATTGAAGCGCCTACTATCCTGCCGTCACCAGTCTTCTGTCGGTTTTCACTGGACAAATCAGGCGTGCTGCTTGACTTTTATGAGACTCATTTTTTAAAAAACAGAGTTCCTGTGATGTGCAGTGGCTCATGCCTGTAATTATCTTTTTTTAATGTGTATTTTTTTAGTTGTAGGTGGACACAATACCTTTATTTTATTTGTATGTGGTGCTGAGGATTGAACCCAGTGCCCGACGCGTGCCAGCCAAGTGCTCTCCCTCTGAGCCACAGCCCCAGCCCTCACTCCTTTAATCTTAGGCACTCAGGAATTTAAGGCAGTAGGATGGCAAGTTCAAGGCCAACCTCAGCAACTTATGAAGACCCTGTCTCAAAATAAAAAGGGCTGGGTATGTGCTCAATTGTAAAGTGCCCTTGGGGCCCATCCCCAGTGCCACAAATAAATAAATATGTTTCTCAGCAGTCTGAAAACATACAGTAATTTTATATGAAGTTTTCCATTAAATAAATTTATAGCTATGTTTGTACATAAAATAGCATTAATATAGAATAACCTTTCTTTAACTTGTTCTTGTCTTCCAGTGAGGATGAACTTGAAGAAACAAATGGAAGTAACCCCATTGACATCGAGGTTGATCAAAATAAGGAAAGCAAAAAGGAGGTATTTTTTCTCCTAGTACTTGTTTAGGGAAATAAACATATTACTACTTACACAGATAAAACCCTCCTCTCACCCATTCTACTTAGGGTATTAGTTGGATTTTTAAAATAGTACCAACTCTGCTTTATAGAACTTAGAATTTTGTTTGCTGGGAATCCTGAGTAAGGAAGCCTTATAGGAAAAGCTAGTGTTGACCAGTGGGGCTCATTTTGGTACAGTCCTCATGCCCTCTCTGAGGAGGCTAGCAGGTGGTGGCAGGGAGGCTGGGCTGCACCAAGCACCTCCTGGCCCTCCTGTCTGCTGTTTGCCTAGGATCTGCCCAGGCTCTGACCATGCTGGATCCTAAAGGTGACTGAAGATACCTCAGGGAGCTGACATGGACTCCATGTGTCCTTGTCAGTCAGCAGCAACAGCACAATCCTGGGGTTGTTGCTTAATCTCTCCTAGCTTAAAAGTCATTACACAGGGGCTGGGGTTGTGGCTCAGTGATTGAGCACTCGCCTAGCACGTGTGAGGCCCTGGGTTCGAACCTCAGCACCGCATAAAAATAAATAAAATAAAGGTATTTTGTCAAACTATAACTAAAAAATAATTTTTTTAAAAAAGTCATTACAATAGGCTGGGGTTGTGGCTCAGTGGTAGAGTGCTCGCCTAACATGCACGAGGCACTGGGTTTGATCCTCAGCACCACATAAATATAAAGATATTGTGTCCACCTAAAACTTAAGAATAAATATTTTTTTAAAACTCATTACACAATAGATTTGTAGTCCCCAGATTCAAGGGATCCACAAGCCCCTACAGTTGTATATGACGTTTACATGTTTCATATGGGTATATGAAGCCTAAGGCGTCAGAATTCCCAAGTGTTCTCTATCCCTAAAAATATAAGAACAGTTATCTTAAACATTGAAAAGCCCAGAGGACTAGACATCTAAACTTTGTCACAGCAGTAGTACATGCTTTTTATAGACAAAATAGGAAAATACAGGTAAACAAAGAGAAGAAAATTAAAGTGATTTTCAGTATTATCACCTATAATTGCTACAGACATTTTAGTGACTTTCCAGACTTCTTTCTCTGTGAAACATACAGGCCCATGTTTATATATACTTCTGAATCTATTCAATTTTTAAAATAATAAAGGAGGCTGGGTGTGGTGACACATGCCTGCGATCCAAGCAACTTGGGAGGTTGATGCAGGAGGATTGCAGGTTTGAGACCAGCCTGGACAACTTATTAAGACCCTGTCTCAAAAAATCAAACAGGCTGGGGATGTAGCTGAGTGGTAGAGTGTCCCCCAGGTTTTATCCCCACTACTGAAAAAATAGTAATAATTTTTGAGAGGGATCTTACTATGTATTTTTTACCACTTTTTAAGTTTATTCTACCTTGAATTGTTTTTATGTCAAATATATTTGATACATGGCTATATAGTACTAATCCTATGATGCCTTCGGCATGGAGCTCGTTCATGGTGGGTGGGTTCCTCGTGTCCTCATTCCCCTGCTCTTTGCTATTAAACACGTTGAGTTTTGATGGTCATGTAACTGTTTGTGTGTTTAATATTTTCTGCTAGAATAATTCCTGGAAGCAGAAATGTTATGTTAAAGTGTTCCATGTGCATTTTTATGGTTTCTGTCACTATACATCACCACACAAGCAATCAGTCATTCTTTCTGGGTGGCACTTTTAGCAGTGATTGTTAGGCCTGCCCAAATAACAAGATCCCAGGGGTTAACTGAAGTAGGTTGTTTGGGAAAGGAAATTGTACTTGAACTTTTTATAAAAGCCTAAGTGGAACATTTTTTTTTTTTTTTAATAAAAGGAACATTTTAATTCTTGTTCTTAGAAACTATAAAGACTATGTACATGATTCAGAAATAGGACTGTACCAAATAGTGGTCAAAGAAGGATCGTCCACTCTATGCCTCTTCTTTTTTCTGGTCACTCAGAAATATGTTATCAGCTGTGATTGTTGTTGCTTGTTGCCTCATGTTATTTTTTTAAAGTAACTTTTTAGTTGTAGATGAACACAAAATCTTTATTTTATTTATTTATTTTCATGTGGTGCTGAGGATCATACCCAGTGCTTCACACGTGCTAGGCAAGTGCTCTGCCACTGAGCTACAGCCCTAGCCTATTGCCTCACGTTATTTTTATCCACGTATTCACCATAGTCTACCTTTTCTTCCACATAAATTCAGGACCCATTTTTTTACATATTGATATGCCACATCTCTAAGGTCTGGCCAGAAAGAACACTGATATTCCATGCCATGTTGTCTTTTGGCTAATGTCACCCATTTGGTATTCTTTATTCTCCCGATCGACACATCTCATTCATTGCTAGAGAAAATATTGTTACTGGATTTTCCCCTTCTGCCTGTCTCAGGTCAGGGTTCTGACTTACTTACCCAAGTAACTGCACATGATTCAGAGATCTTTCAAGAACCACACTGCTGGCTATTTCAGACTCATGCCTTATAAACTGATGAAGTACCTATAATGCAGGTCTTCAAACCTGGCTTCTATTTTCTTTTTTAAAATCTAAACTTTTAGTTTCTCCTGATGCGCTAGCCTGGGCAACCTCTACTCGGGCTAGAACATTTTTAATGAATGAGAATAGTCTTGATTTTATATCAGTTTCCATAATTTATTTATATATAGCACAATTTCCAACTCAAAAAGAATCTTGGAAACTAAGTATAACATGTTATACACATGTTATTACAACATGTCCTCAGTCAGTAGGTAGTCTTTATCAAATAGCATAGTGCCTTACAGAACATCATTTACAGCCTTCTAACACTTTTACTACCATTTTCAAGAAGTCACCATTACCATCACAGTTTGCATTGTCATTTTAGCTCACTCTTTTAAAACATAAAGCAAAGCCAGGCATGGTGGCACACTCTTGTAATCCCAGTGGCTTGGGAGTCTGAGGCAGGAGGATCATAAGTTCAAAGCCAGCCTCAGCAATTTACTGAGGCCCTAAGTAACTCAGTGAGATCCTGTCTCTAAATTAAATGTGAAAAAGGGCAGGAGATGTGACTCAGTGGTTATGCTCCCCTGGGTTCAATCCGTAGTACTGAAAAATGTGATGAAACATAAAGCAAAAAGCCTGAACATGTTTTTACTTGGATCACTGTATATTACCCCAGCAAGTTGGGGTTACAAACAATTATAGAAACTTACTGTTTTTAATATGGTTGCCAGTAAGACACGGATTCTTTTGAAACTTGCCAAGATTTTGTGTTTCTAAAAAAATTAGCAACAGTCCTGTGTTTTTAAGTAATAGCACATATCTTTTTAGAGCAAGTTTTATGACTTGATCTAAAAACGAAGTGTCATCCAAAAAAATTTTTTAAATGTATAAAAAGTTATAGTTCATATTGTAGTTGTCCTCCCTCCCTCTTCATGCACACCAGGCAACTGGTCCACCACTGAGCTCGATCCCCAGCCTATGGCAGTTTCTTTCCTAATTGAAATATTTAAAGAATTAAGGATGTTTACATGTGCTGAAGCATTTTTTTCTTTCTGTGGATATACGGCTACTGCATTACTAGAGACGGCTGCTGGGATGAAAGAGCTCCCTCTTCCTTTACCTGTCATACAGGTAAATGTCTAGGTGGCTGCAGAGCTCAGAAGAGAAGAATACATTTTTTTTTTCCCTGTGTTACTACAGAAAGCTGAGAATGCTTATTATCAGAGACTTAAAGAAATGGGATAAGGATGTCTCTGTTCAAAAAGGAAACAGACACTGAAGTACTTAACCAAAATCCCATAGCCATGTTTGTGTCTGTTAAGTGCCTGTTAGAGCTTATAGGTGATAATCAGCAGATGGCATGGTATGTGTCTTAGATTGTTTGCGGCTATATTAAGAACGTGCTTATTGCTACTCGTGGCATTTTTGCTTTTTGGTTTCATTCATCAAAATTTGTTTATCCTGCAGGTGCCCCCTACTGAGACAGTTCCTCAGGTCAAAAAAGAAAAACATAGCACACAAGCTAAGAATAGAGCAAAAAGGAAACCTCCAAAAGGCATGTTTCTGTCCCAGGAAGATGTGGAGGCTGTTTCTGCCAATGCCACTGCTGCTACCACGGTGCTGAGACAGCTGGACATGGAGTTGGTGTCCATCAAACGACAGGTACCCGAGTCCAGTGCTTGGGGGCGGCTTTCACCCTCCAGGTGTTGCTGCTCACAGTGGCTATTTCCTTTCCACAGATCTAAGAAATTGGATAGAAAATCTTGGATATTGACTCATTAATTTTTTTAAAATTTACTTTTAAATTGAAGTATGGAAAAAGTATGTGGACTTTAATTTATCTATGGTACATACATTTGTGTGTGTGTCTGAGTGTCTTGATTTTTAACACATGAACACTCTGCAGTGGCATATCTGGACCAGGAAGGGGACCCTCTCCTCCGAAGCCCCCGCCCTTTTCCATTTCCAGAACTCCACTCCCTCTGCTCTTCCCTGAATCGCCTTCTCCAGGAGAGGACCACGGGTTTTGTGTTTTAAAGCCATAGATTGGGATTTTATGATTTATTTTATAAGCATGTGCTGTTATTTCTTTCCCGTCTCATTTTCTTTCAGCGTGTGGGAGCCATCTGTGTAGTGTGGCACTGTCACCTTGTTCTGTTCTTTCTCATTGCTTAATGGCACAAAGTACCTGTTTACTTGTAGTTGTGTCAAAAAAGAAAAACATAGCACACAAGCTTGCCATTCAGGGCCAGTACATGTGGTACTGGTGCAGACATTGCTTATGTGAATGCTGATGCATTGTGCATGTGTCTCTGTTGGGCACATCTCTGTGGATCCCTTTTGGTGGGACTGCAGAGTTATCACCTGTGCAGCCCTAGGTAACACACCCAGCAGTTCCCTACAGTGGGCCTGTCGGCTTACCTGGGCTTTGGTTCCCCTGCTTGCATTTCCTACCTTCAGCACTGTTGGACTAATTGGGCTGTGTGTTAGTTTTGTTGTTGTTGTTATCGTGGACCTTTATTGGTTTATATGTGATGCTGAGAATTTAATCCAGTGCCTCACGTGCATGCTGGGCTACAACCCCAGCTCTTAGACAGCTTTTTTGCTGTGACCCATAGACCCGAAAAGAAGAATTTTAGAGGAGGAAAAGTTTATTGGGGCTCATGGTTTTATTCCACGGACAACCAGCTCCATTGCTCTGGACCCGTGGAGAGGGAAGACATCATGGCAGAAAGGTATGCTGGAGGAAAGCAGCTCAAGGATAGGCCGTCAGGAAGCAGAAAGAACTTGCTTCACCACGGACAGAATGTAAATCCCAAAGGCACATCTCCAGTTACCCTCCTCCTCCAGCCACACCCTATCTGCCTATCATTGGATTGATGCACTCACTGGCTTAAAACTCTTAAGCCAGTCATTTCACCTCTCATCTTTCTTGCACCATCTCACACATGAGCTTTGGAGTACCCCTCATGTCTAAACCATAACAGGATGTCCAGCACTCTCCCTGGCCTTTACTCACTCACCCTCCCCCTATCAGTTGTGACAACAGCAACACCCCAGGCTTTGCCAGATTGCCCCTTGGGCACATTGTCCCCACTGCATCCTGAACAACACTTTTTCTTTCTCTCTACTTTTTTTTAAATTTTTTTATTTTGGAGGAGGTATGTGATCAGGAATTAAACTCAGGGGCTCTTGACCACTGAGCCACATCTCAAGCCCTATTTTGTATTTTATTTAGAGACAGGGTCTCACTGAGTTGCATAGCGCCTCGCCATTGCTGAGGCTGGCTGTGAATTCGGATCCTCCTGCCTCAGCCTCCTGAGACTCTGCCACTGCGCGTGGCTTTTTTTGCATTTATAATGGTGTTTTATCTCACTGTCTATCCTGCCTGTAGTCCCCTACTTGTTGGCCATTTAGATATATCCTCTTGCTCACCCACTTATCCAATTTTTGTCCATTTCTTTTCTTTTGGATTGTTTTCTTCTTCATCTGTACATGTTCTTGATTCAAGTTCTGAATTGTTCTCTACCCACTCGTCTCATAAACATATGCTTCCCATCCTGTGTCGCCACATGTTAATGGGGTTTTCTGAAATTCTTTTTTCTTGGAGTGGGTGTTGGTACTGTTAGAAATACCGGGGTGCGGCAAGCAATCAAGCCCATGTTGGGAAGTAGCTCAGCAAGGCGGACTTTACTTATGCTAGAGATGTGCTCCCAAACTGGCTGGCAGTCACACCTAGGCAGGCAGTGCCCCTGCTTTATCCCTAAGGCAGTACTGCAGCTTGCTCTGATAGGAGGAGCTTGGGGTTACAGTCCATGTGACTGGCTCATTTTAATAATGGGGTGGGCAAAGGGAAGGGCTAAAGCTTTAATGGCTATGACTGAGTCTTATATCATGATTAAGGCTAAATAAATACTATTTTCTGAAAATGTTCCACCGAACTTTCTATTTTTCATAGTACTGGGGATTGAACCTAGGGGTAAAGCCCCTGAGCCACATCTCCAGTCTCTTTTGGTTTTTATTTTGAGACAGAGTATCACTAAGTCTTTGAGGCTCAAACTTGTAATCGTCCTGCCTCAGCCAACTGGAATTCTATCAGGTAGTCTGTTTCTCACCTTACCTTCACTGGCTGGTGGCTTCAGCTCTGCCAGGAGCCTTTCCCCAGGTGGGAAGACATGCTCCCGCACCTCCCTAGCAGCATTGCCCACCTTTTGCACTTAGTCTGCAGCCCACCTGTATTGTTAAATGTAAGGTCGCTGTCAGGGGGTTTATAATGCAAGCATCTATTTGACCAGGTACTTTTTATTGAGAAGCCTGCCCTTTCCCACTGCAGTGCAGCAGGACCTGCATTTAAATCCATGGGTCTGGTTTGAGGCTCTGTTCCTTTGGGCTGTGTGCTCATCCTTCACTAATACATGCTATTCTAGTTTTATGTACTTTGTAAATTTATCTGGTACTATAAGTCTTCTAGTTCTTTTTTTAAGAACAATTTTTAGTTGTAGGTGGATACCTTTATTTTATTTATTCATTTTTATGTGGTGCTAAGGATCGAACCCAGTGCTTCACACATGCCAGGCGAACGCTCTACCACTGAGCCAGAACCCAGCCCATTCTTCTTGTTCTTGATTTTCCCTGGCTCCTTGTACTTCCCTAGAGAAATTTGAACCACTCTCAATTTCTAGAAAAATAGTTGCTCTAGAACTTTGTCAAGTTCACATCCTTATTGAGACTTCTGGATGAATGAACATGGTGTACCACTATATCTCTAAGTCTTTAATTTTTCTGTTTTGTCATTTCCTAGTAAATAAGGCTTATACGTCATTTGTAATAGTTTCATGTTCTTAGGTATTTGGTACTTTCTGAAGGGCTCTTGCCAAGGAAAGCATTTTAATATTTTTTTTTTTTTTTTTTTTTTGTAGTTATTTGCACCTACCATGTAGAAAGGGCTCATCCCTTTCATCTGGTTGCATAGTACATTTAAACTGGAGATTTGGGATGGGGATATAGCTCAGTTGGTAGAGTGCTTGCCTTACATACACAAGGCCCTGGGTTCAATCCCCAGCACCATACACACACACACAAAGAAAGCAACAACAACAAAAGAAAAAAACTGGAGATTCAACAAGCAGCCTAGTATTAGCCTCCCCCTCCCCCCACCTTTTTTCTCTCTCTCTGGAATTCAGTTCCAGGAAAGCATCAGCAAATTGTGGACAACAGTTTAGTTTGGGTCTCTGCTGCTTTTGAGTTGTTACTCTTAATATCTCCCTTGCAGGATTAAATGGGAGACCAGCTGCCACCCAGCTGAGACGTGTGGGGTCTGTGAACCTATCTTCCTTCTGGTTTAGGGAGACAGCACAGAGTAGGGCCGGGCATGCCCTGGGAGGGGAGGCAGCTCCTTGTCTTGATGTCAGCACAGCTGTGCTCTCATCTTGGGAGAATCAATCTTCTGGGCCTCTTCTTGAATGAGGAGATTAATCCTTGTGGCCTGATCTCCCGGGACCATCAGGGCTGCTGTGCAGAAGCAGTGGGGAGCTCTGATGAGAGCTCTGTTGGTCATCTTCTACAGGGAGCTTGTTTTCCTCCTGCTGAGTTGGTTCCTGGTGGTTGATGTTGTTGTATGTGGAGGAAAGGCAAAGCCCCCTGCCAGAGAGTCTGCTGAACTTCAGTACAGGAGGTAAAAATGATGCTTTGGTTTTCAGGGTCAAGAGCGGCCTTTTCTTTTTGCTTTTTGTTTTGTTGTTATTGTTTTGAGCACTGGGGACTGAATGCAGGGACACTCTACCACTGAGCTACATCCCCATCCCTTTTTATTTTTTGAGACAGGGTCTCACTGAGTTGCTCAGTCTGGGCTTCAACTTGCGCTCCTCCTGTCTCAGCCTCCAGAATTGCTGTAACACAGATGTGTGCCACTACTGGCTAAGACAGATTTTTGTAACGTGAAGGTAACTGATTGGGGGTTGACAGTTTTGAAGATGTGCAGGTTGGAGCCCAGCTTATTGGGTGAGGAGATAAGTGCTTCCATGCCACAGCCAGCAGTACTGTGGCTGCTAAGTCCATTTCTAGACTCAGTGACTGTCATTTATGTGAGGGACAGTCACTATGTGTGCCCAGGTTTGCTAGTGTATCAGGGGAACACTCACTTGAAAGTAATAGGAAGAAATCTGCTATCGGCTTGGGTAACTAAGGAGTGATTTGTCTCCAGTAGCAGGAAGAATCGGCATCAGTGGGTGCTGGCCTTAATTCATCTATTTACAGATGCTCCCAGGAATCCAGGTGCTTTTAGGTTCTCTCCTCTGCCATCCTTAGTATATTGGCTTCTCTTGTTATTGCTCCCCCATGGGATACTTTGGGAGCCATTTTGTAACCCCCCGCATTTGTATTCAGGGCAATAATAAGAAGAGATGAGGTGGAGCTAACCTGTCTGTCCCTGGTAGCAGGAAGAGCAAAGCTGCCCTACCAGAAGCCCCAGCAGATTCCTGCCTGCCGGCTCCCCCCACAGTGCTTCTCCTCTTTGCTCCTAGAGAATAGCATCAGTGCCTGTCAGAAACACAGGGAGAAGGGCCCTGGGCACTCTTTGTGCTCACAGTAAGCAGAGCCTATTGCTCTGGGCCTCCTCTGGGTGGAGAATGAAGTGGTCTGACAGCAGAGAGACAGCATTGTGCACACAGAGAGGAAAAAATAAAGCTGTGCCCCATTGGGAAGTCTGCCTGAGGTGCCAGGCCACATGCCTTAGTGCTGATCACACCTCTGTCCCCTCTCTTATAACTTAGTTGTCCCTCTGGCGTCCAGCCTGGTTGGTACAGTGTTGGCGATTAACTTCATTCTTATTCTGATTATAAACACTGGATATTTCAGATATGGAAAGTGTATGGGGACTAGAGGTATATGCTGATGAGAAGTTAGAGCTCACTTTGGGTTCAGAATTTGAGAATGTTCTACATTTAATCTCCTTATTTGGACAGGAAATGCATATTCTAAGTACATTAATCTCCTTAGAGAATGCATGTGTTTATTAATCACAGTGCAGCATGTATCTAGTTTGTGTTATCTGCGAAAAGCCAGCTCAAGTGAGGAGAGTGACACTTTCCCCTGGAGTGCCAGGGGCTGCACAGTTTTCAGGCCCTGAATTCGCTCACCATCAGCAACAGGCAACAGCTGTGTCTAGTTTGTAGCCTAAGGAGTCAGAGACACAGGAAGAAGGGCCCTGGGCACTCTTTGTGCTCACAGTAAGCAGAGCCTGTTGCTCTGGGCCTCCTCTGAGCTCTGGGCAAGCTCTGAGTCCCCAGAGTTTTGCAGGTAGCTGGTGGGTACAGGACCTTCGGGTAGCCCAGCGGCAGGATAGACAGTGCTGGAGGGCTCAGACTATCACACTGGGGATTCACTATGAGGAAAGCTCTAGGACCTGTTATTTTCTTCTGATTTATCCTTTTCAAAACACAGTGATAGAAGCAGATTTCAAAAAACCAAGATCCCTGTGCTGGGGTTGTAGCTCAGAGTGCTCGCCTAGCATATGTGAGGCCCTGGTTTAATCCTTAGCACCATATAAAAATAAATAAATAAGATGATATTGTGTTCAACTAAAAAATAAAATATTAAAAAAAAACCCCAAGATCCCCATTTGTGGCTTTATTGTAGGGTAAATTTGGTGCACAGTTGTTTTCTTCAAAGTTGTCTTTGGGTGTTAATGTGGAAAGATAGAAGTCACTGTTTCCAGTACACTCTGGGGTATCCTAATGGCAGATGGTCAGATTCTGGTCCGCACAGGGCTGGTCTTACTTGGGTACTAATCCTACAGTGAGGAAAAATTTTCCCCCAAATACCCACTCTTTAAAATTTTTTTTAGGGAAAGAAAACAAACAAAACATGACATAAGGGCATATAAAACTGGAAACTGGTAAGGGAGCATCTTCCACTCTTGAATTTCTTTGGAGAATATCATCCTGCTTTTTCCCTCACTTTCTTGCTGGTGTGGTAATTCAAAGATGAAAACCACAAGAGTCAGAGGTCCTCTGGTGTGGAGCATGGATGTGCCTCTGCTGGTGTTCAGGAAAGAGCACGGCCTCTGGCCTGCCTGGTTGAGGAGTACCCGGGAAACCTGAAGCAGCATGCGGGGTTGGTTTGCACTGCTTGTGCTGTCTTTTGATTGGGTGAGAGCCGTGAAAGACTAGGTACACTGAGTTAGAGCAAGACTGAGGAAGAGGATAAGGTGGATAGGATAGGGTGTGGGAAACGCGCTGGCGTGTTGCTGCCTTCCGTCCCCTTTGAGGAGGCCAGTGCTTATGGACCTAGGCAGCACAGGGTGGAGCTCTGGGAAGCTGTCACCACAGTGCTGCATGGGTCCTGGGCCTGTTCAGCCTTTATGCTGGCTGCTCTGTTACTTCAGCTCATTTCTGTGTGGTGGAAAGCCCAGAAATATGCTCTCCTTTGGAGCAGACTCAGCTGCGTGTTTTTCTGCTCAGGTGGTCACTTGTGAGAACCAGGCACCTTCTCATCACCCTGCCTTCTTGGCTATCCCTTATCTGTTGCTCTGAGCAGATAGCTTCAGGAGTCTTGTAAGGTACCAAATATCTTTAAGAGGACCTTTGGGGCCTCTTGTTTGGTCTACAACAGGGGTGAGGAATTGTTTTGCTCTTGTTTTTTTTTTTATTATTGTTGTTGGGTGGTGGTGTTTTTGTTTGTTTCTTTTAGTAAGTTTTCATTCTTAAAATGAAAATCTCTTTTCATTCTTAGATTCAGAATATTAAACAGACGAACAGTGCTCTCAAAGAAAAGCTTGATGGTGGAATAGAGCTGTACCGACTTCCAGAGGTAGGGTTATGGAACATCATCCAGGAAGTTGTACCCACGTGTATTTTAAGTTGTGCTTAAAATGTAATGTCTGTGACATATCTCCAAAATAAACCTCTTAGAAAAGAAGGGTATGGGCACAATTTTACAATTCTCAGTGACATTAAAATTTGACAGGAGTAAATGAAAAACTCATTAAACTGTGGTAGAAATCTGCTTTTCTCTGAGTGTGATACACTAACGCTGCATTTGCATATTCAGGTCACACAGAAGTGCAACGCCCGTTGGACCACAGAAGAGCAGCTTCTGGCCGTACAAGGTATGGGCATCTTCAGAAAGTACCGGGGTGGGGTGTGGAGGGGGTGCTGGCTCTTAATTCCCGTGAAAGATTGCTATCTCCTAGTGGGAATCATCTGTCCGTGTTCCCTGGCTGTCCTTTCTATTCTTTCTCTCCCACTTTTCACAAGTTGAAAACTAACCGGGAAGCCAGTTTTCTAAGGGTGTGAGTGTTGCATGTTAGGAGTTGCTTTTGGGCTCTGAATAGTCAGAAAGTGTAAATCCCCAAAAGATGCAGATGAAAGGTTAGGATTTTAAGGTAGGCAGTGCTCTGTACTTGGGGAATTTGAAGAGCTGTGACCCAGAGCATCCACAGCCATGGGCACTGCAGGACTTGAGCAGGTCATGTTCTGTGACATGTGATGGAAGACAGATCCCAGCTGACAGGTCCCACTGAGCGTGTGCCAGCATCCACATGGTGTGTCTAGACTCGACCGCCGTGGCTTTCCACTGGAGTGACATGCTGTTCAAAGCCTATGTTTTCTTATCAGGATAAAGGGTAAACCTCAGTTTGTGGGTTTTAAACATTGTTTTTCTCAAGTATTTGGAAAAAAAAAAAATGCTCTCTTCCATCCTTAGCCATCAGGAAATATGGCCGAGATTTTCAGGCAATCTCCGACGTGATTGGGAACAAGTCAGTGGTACAGGTGAAAAACTTTTTTGTAAATTACCGACGCCGCTTCAACATAGATGAAGTTTTACAAGAATGGGAGGCAGAACATGGAAAAGAAGAGACCAATGGACCCAGTAGCCAGAAACCTGTCAAGTCCCCAGATACAGCTATCAAGCTGCCTGAAGAGGAGGAAGAGGTGAGTGTGACACGCGCAGTCTCCCCACCACCACCTTGCCCACGAGACTCCAGCTGGTTTCTAAAGAGGAAACTTTTTTCCTCTGGTGAAATCTCTTTAGGTTTCAGCTGCATTAGGCACTTCTACCTGTAACAACTATAATGTACGTGTGCTGGCGCTGGCAAGTTGTTGTCACTGTATACCTCTCCCATTCTAACTCAGAAGAAGGTTTTTAATTCTGTCCTGGTTCCCTCCAGCCATAAAATACTCCACATGACCAGTAGCTGCTTTTTTAATTCTTTAATTGTTGGTGGACTTTTATTTTATTTATTTATTTGCATATGGTGCTGAGGGTTGAACCCAGTGCTACACACATGCTAGGCAAGTGCTCTACCTCTGAGCTATAACTCCAGATCCAACCAGTAGCTTCTTCAACACAGTGAAAAGCTGTCATGGAACATATGTTGGAAATGCCCCGAGGAGTGTCTATATGGCTCAGTCACGTCTTGTGTGCTGTGAGCTGGACATGGGGCTTCTGACCCCACTGGGTGACTGCACTGACTGCAGGGGCCCCTGCAGGGTGTTTCTGCTTCCCTCTCCCACCCTTCAGTGCTGTTTGAAGCTGCTGGCTTAAATATTGATGGGGACAATTCTAGATCCAGCATCTGCCAGAACATCTAGGATGGTGGCTAAAGCCGAGCAATTTCTGGGGTGGTGGTTACTGATTCATCAGCCCTGTCGGCTAGGATGAGGGCAGAAGCTCTGCTGCAGAAGCCTCTGCTCCCACTGCTCCCTGTGTGATTCCTTGCTGTCTACTGCCTCACATGGCCATTCCACTGCAGTCCTCCCTCTGCTCCCAGGGAAGGTACACACAGGTCTAAGACTAGGTGATCTCCACCTGTGTGGATTTTCTCATGGACATTACCACTTCAGGATTAATGTAGCATTCTGAAGAAAGTCACTTCCTCACCAGTGTCTTCCTCAAACCATGTGGGAATGATTTGAAGTCACCTGTTTTCTGCTGTGTGTGCTACAACTCTTTGAGAGTATATGGTGAGGACAGTGGTGTTACTAGTCTGAAGGGTCTGTGTACCTTAGCTAGAAAGGGCTTCAAGGTGCTTCCCTCCATTAGAAAAGCACTGAAACATATTAATGGTATTAGATTCTCTAGAGCCTTTTACCAAAAAACCTTGCATCATGTGTAATCTGTAGTGTTGCCAATATGAGTGGTGCCTGAGTCACCTCATGGCCTAGCCTGTGTCCCTGGAGCTTCATAGCATCTGGGCAAAATGAGAGTTTCTGCCTATTAGCAGTTTGTTGTTTTTTTTTTTAATTGCCCCTCTAGTAACAAACCAGCTTCCCTAAAGTCTTGGACCAGGTGGAAGCATTGAAAAGTAGGGGTAGTGGGGAGAAGAATGTTAGAATTTGTAAGACTCAAAACGTTCTTCCATGAGCCTTCCAACTGCATTCTCAGGGCTGCTAAAAGCAGAAATGGTCTCTCTCAGTATTTAGAGGACTAGCGTGAGAGATCCAAGTCTTCTTCATCAGGCAGTCAGCTCTTCTGCATATGGCTTTCTCTCCTTTTTTTAGGCCTGGTTCATATACAGACTGACTTAGAGTTACCAGGTGTTGCTGGTCCAGGACGACGTCCTTCACAGCCTGCGCCTTGTGTAGGGCATGCTTCAGAATTTCCATGTAATGCCTTTCCTTCCCCTCCCCCTTTATTTATTCGTTTATTTATTTATTTATTGCAACACTGAGCATTGAACCCAGAGGCACTCTTCCATGGAACTATATCAATTTGCTCTTTTTACTTTTTAATTTGAGACAGGGACTTGCCAAGTTGCTCAGTCTGGCCTTGAACTTGTGATCCTTCTACCTCAGCCTCTTGAATTGCTGGAATCCACTGGGCCCAGCCATGTGGTATCTTTTCCCATCCTGGTTATAGTCCATCTGTAACTAGACCTCACACCAAGCCATAGACCTTAATTTCTCTTTGATGCTTGATCTGTATACTATTTACCTAGCCTTCTTCCAAAATAAAGCATGACAAAGGAGAATGGTATTATCTGATACGTCTTTAAGGTATGATTTTTCTATCACCTTCTCAAAAGTTCTCACCCCTTGGGCCATTTAAAGAATTACCCACACAGCTGTATTTCTCTAGTCCCTTTTCTTTTATACTTCTTAAAGCACCAACTGTACCCTGCCATCCCTGGATTTTTGTTTTCTATATGTTAGTTTGTAGAAGGACATTAGCCTGTAAGGGCCCACTGCTTCTCCACTTCCCAGGGCCAATGGGGACCTGTTAGAACATTGGCTGGCTGCTCACAGTGCTCAGAACCTGAGCTGTGGTAGTCTCACGCTCTCATTTACCTTATGGGACCAGCAGCTGAGGATGTCTGCTGGTATCCTGCTGCCCTTCCACCTTCAGATTTTGTATGTTTTGCAGAATATGCAGGGAGTAGGATGTTGCAACTGCAGAAGTGCAAATAGCATGATGGTCTGTCAGTTGTAGATGTTTCCCCAGCTAAGAAAGGAAGGGTTTGTGCGTTTGAGATTTGGAGTTCCTTGAGGTGCCCAAGCTTGGGGTATAGGAGATAATGTTATGTCCAGCCTTGCATTAGAGAAGGGGCATGAGAGGATGCTGGAATGTCTCACTTAAAGTAATGAAATGGTGCGGTTCAGTGCTGTCACCCACAGCCTAGCCAGGGAACCTGCCTGGATCCCAGCTGGCATCCCAGGTGGTCATCCACCTGCATAAGAGAGAAACAAATGATGTGCAGAGGAACAATGAATTTGACTGTATGATCAAACTGGACAGAAGCATCTAGACTGCAGGACCCCCCAGCCCTGCAGAAGCCGTTGTGCTGCGAGAAACAGAGGTCGGCAAGCACGCTGGGCTGTGCCAGCTCCCTTGCACTTGCCCTGGCTGGGGCTGGTTTTTCAGTTTTCATTCTCAGCATGAGGAAGTTAGGAAGCTGAAACAATTTGGAGTTTTCATTACCAATGAGGGAAAAGCTCCTGATTTAACCAACAGCCGTTCCTGTAAATTGCTGTTTCACTTGAAGGACCAGCACTTTGAGATTTCGTATTCATAGCCCCATTGCTTCCCAGCAGTAAAATACCACATTCCCTTTGGAAATCAGTTTTGAAAGATGAAGAGATGCCTTTGTAGCTTTAACAAAGATCCTGCAGCCTTCAATTCCCACCCCTTAGTAGAAACCAGGGGTTGGTTGGTTGTAGTGCCAGGAACTACAGCCTTCCCCTCGCTGATGTGCATAGCTGTGGGTAGCTGTAATTGCCTGAGTGGTCCTGCTGGCCAAGCTCCGTGCTGACCTGCCCCTGTGAAGAGGGTATCACTGTGGTGCACATGATGCAGAGGGCAAGAGTGATGCTCACAAAGGAAGAACTCGTCCAGGGTGACATGCCCTTGCCTGCCCTTGGAGTCATGCCTGCTGGCCACACACTGTTTGCTGTAGGGGTGGTTGTGTGGGCTCTCTACCCGACTTGAGCACACCAGGGTTAGCAGTGTATGTCCTCGATCTGCTCCTTGATCCTTTCCCTCCTTTTTGTCCTCCTCAGGCTGCTTCTGTCCTCGACGTCAGATATGCATCTGCCTCATGAGAAATGCTGGTAACTCTGAACACTTGGTATGGACTCCATGTTACCCAGGATATCAGGTATTACGAGACATCACCTAGCCATCTGCATCACATCTCTGTGGACAAGCAGCTATTACCAAAAAAGGCATACACTTCCAGTCCTGTGCTACATCTGCCTTAATTCTTTGCTCGTTCCTCCCTGTTGGCGCCACTTCCAGAGAGCTCCATCACGTCTCTTCCCCTGCCTCAGTGCTGGGCAGCCCACAGCCTGCACACCTCCCTCAACTCTGGGACCCACTCCCAAGATGGAGTCCTTGAGCCCCACCGATGGCAGCTCTTCTCAGTCAGCAGCTTCAGAACAGGTAGTCTTGGAAGGCCCGACTCTGTTCCTGCATGGCCTGCAGTTTCTACTTGTGCATAATGTACTTTCCAGAGTTACTGACCCTGTTGGTCTTCTAGAAAGTTTCTCTTCCTCTCTTCTGAGGCAACCACCTAAATAGCATCAGGCTTCTTTAGAAATCACAATGTATCGGCAGACTGCAGCGCAGCCTTTATTGTGCCAAGCATCTGGATGCGCCTTGTGTTTCCTAAATGCAGGGTAGAGTTACAGTTTCCGAGTTTAGTGAACCTAAATCTCCCCCCTTTTTCCTTCCCAAGTGGTCAAGCTCACTCAGAGCACCTATCCTTGGACACTGTGGCTTAAAGGGAACGTGGACCTCAGTGCTTTCTGCCTTCAGCCCTCAGCGTTATAGTCCCAGGGTGGGTGCACCCACCTTTTCCTGACCCCCCACCACCACTGCCGCCACAACTCTGAGCAGCTCGGTCCATATCACTGTACCTGGTGCTCGTACACTTGGAACTGGTGCCTTCTCCTTTTGGCAACCATGTTATCGGTCCCTTTTCTGTTCAAGTGTCTTATTTAAAGTTTATTGCTTGCCAAAGATGACATCATTGAGATAGGAGACAGGGAGAGCTTCTGCAGATCCCGACAGAGTGCAGATTTTGAACGTCAGGTTAGTTCAATAAAGCATGTTAGAATAACTGGTGATGGTTTTATAGAAACTACATACGGTTTGTTCCTGTCCTCCTGGTGTGCCTGGCCTGTTGTGTGTCACTTCATGTGTCCTTTTGTGTCCTTTGTGTACTGATGTGATCACACAAACACCATCCCTTCTCTTTTAATAGCTGAGTACAGGGCAGAGAAGTGATCGATATATTGGTCTAATAAGACCAAGATGAAAAGTGGTATGTAATGCCTTTTGGTTGGACTGGGAACAAGTAACAGTTTTCTAGTAAATGTCATGTGACTTCCAGAATCACCTTGGTTCTCTACCAGACCGTGGCCTGCTGAGGCTTGGCCAGCCAGCATGCATTCCAGCACCACGGCCAGCCAGCCATTCTGCACTAACACATGGAAGCAGCTTTTGTTGTGTTTGCATCCTTTGAATATTTTTTTCTGCTTTTAATACCAAAAAGAAAAAAAAATACAGATGCTTTAAGGCATAAACAGAATTCTTAAGAATTTAAAATATGCAATTAAAATTTGATGTGTTTTGATTCCAAGCACCTTGCTTTTTTTTTTTTTTTTTCCTTTCTTTTAAGTCAATTGATCATCTCTTTAGAAAGAGGTTTAGCTAGAAACCTAGTTTAGTTTGTATGTTCTTTTGGAGAAGTCTGAGGAAAGGTCATTCCAGAGGGGAGAACAGGGGCTTTCCTGGTCCTGTTCCCTGTCAGGTGTCTGTTGGGCACAGCCTGTTGTTGGGCCTGCCTTCTTGCCTGGAGACAGGCAGCTCTGACACCACCACTGAGTCCCTTTTGTAGGCCTGCTGTGTGTTTGGAGGTGGCTAAAAGCAGGGGCCAGTCAGCCTGTGCTCTGCACGGCATCTGAGGGGACATGCTGAAGCTTTCTGCTCCCCCAGCAGGAGCAATAGGTGGTGGTTGCAGTGGCAATCTCCTTCTCCATGCTCAGGCTGTCTTCCTTGAGTCCCTCCTGGTAATGACTAGAAGGATAGTAGCCCTTAGGTGACGTGCAGATGGAATGGCAATGTCCCCTTACTTGGTTCCTGGCACTGAGTGGCCTTCATCCCTGGAGAGTCACATGCTGGTGCACTTGTGATCTCAGCAGGTAAATTTGGGCTCTTTCTCCAAGGGAAAGGACGCGCTGTTTTCATTTGACAGAGGAAGGGTACTCCTTGCCTGCCATCGCTGCAGTCTCAAGCAGAAGATAGCACTGTCTTTAACTTTTTTCATTATGCTGTCTTTGCAATTATGTAAATGCAAGAAATCACTTAGCTTTCAAAGCTGAGTGGCGTGGTGTTATTTATGTGAAGACTCTTAACATATCAAGAATTAGGTGCATTGGCAGGTTGGGTTTGGGATGTGATAACTGCTTCAGATGGAATGTCACTTACGTTTTGTGTTCTTAAAATTTATCAATGTGAATGTCATAATTATATATATTTTTGTGGAAAATTTCTCCTAAGTATAAGTTATTGTGCAAAATATAGTATCATGGACACAAATAATAGTTTAACTTTTAGTTTAGATATCCTAAAAGATATAAATTGTATTGCATATGCATTAAAAGTTTGTTTTATTTAATTTTATGTAGATGTGTAAAGTGTTAGTTAAGGATTTTTTTTTTCACTTATTCATTTAAACACCTTGTTACTTGAATAGCGTGTTGGCTGGTCAGCAGCAGTGATTCTGTAACATAGCCCTTTCAACCGAGAAGTTACCATGCCTCAGTTGTGCTGATGAGCTTAGTGGTGGTACAGTCCAGGTGGGTGCTGGTGTTGCAGGAGCCCCAGGTCAGTGTGGCACACCTGCTGGTTATCTTGGCCTGTGTGTTGAGACACTGCTTCCTTTCAATGGTTTTTGGTAGTTTTTAACCTTAAGACCCACTGATGGTCACAAGCCTCTAATCAAAAAACAAAAGTGAAAAAGTAGTCTAAAAGCTTGCGGGGCTGAACTAATTAATCAAGCAGTTCTTTTCTGTTTAGGTAAAATTTCCTCAAATATCATACACCACTCTTAAATGTGTTCATTGTCACTTTAAGTTTCAACTATTTTTATCTTTCTGAATATCAGATATACTATTGGTATAACTGCACACCAAAAATAAGCCAGCAGTGCTTTACACTGGCTGGATCCCTGCTTTTACGTGAGAAAAGGAAAGATGGAGCCAAGTCCACCAGGGGCCTCTTTTTTTCCCCTCTCAAGCCTGTTTCTAAACCTAGTGACCCAGGAGTCAAGCTTTTAGTATCAAATGAACTTTGCCTCAGATTGACTCGAGGTAGCTCAGTCGTCAGAATCTATCGATCTTGTGCAATGCTCTTCCGCCACTCCTAGGATCTCCGCAGCTTTTCCTAATTATAGTGAAGCACAATTGCAGTAACAGTACAGTTCAGAACAAGGAAGGTCAGGACAGTCTATGCATGTTGTAAAATAATGAGTGTTTACAGCCACCTTCTCCTAAAACAAAAATTTATACTGGAGTGGATAGTATTCCATTATGTAGACTTACAACTTTGCTAAGTGCTTTTTAGATTGCTTAAAATTTTTTCAAGATTTTAAAAGATGTATAAGGTTAAGTGTGCAAATACAATGGAAATGCTGTATATCTTTTGAAGTGATAAAATCCACGTTGGAATTTTAAAGAAAATATGTTGTGATAATGCTGTTGTAAGTAATATTTTCATGTCTCTTTTTGCCTGTTTTCTATTTCAGCACATTCATTGTGGTGAATGTTCATAGCATTATAATTGCTTAGCCATTGGATGATAACATTTGTTAGTGGAAATTGGAAGATTTATTTGTGAAATTCTGCAGAATTCATTTTTCTATTTCCAATATTTGCTGAAGTTAAATAAAAATTTTCAAGCCATTGATGTAATAAAATATGAAACAAAGCAATTTTCTGGATCCCCATTTCCACCATCACATAAAGTGGGTATTCTTCCCTTTCAAGCAGGCCTTGGCATTTCTGAATGTTGATTTCCCCAGTATTAAACCCTGTGGGTACTCAGCCAGGGGTCACTTGCCTTTAACCTTGGCTCTACCTGAACTGTGTGATAATCTTTTGGCTGCACAGTGATCTAACAAGTGGTGTCAAGTGGAGTGCATGAGTTCATAAAACTTGCAGTAGTTGAGGCTTAAATGTAAACGTCGGGTGAGTTTTTCAGCTTGACCAGGCTTTGACCTGCCGCCTGGAAGCTGGGCTCCATGGGGTCCTTAGTCTGTATAGTGAGGAGGCCAGACTGCCTTCTTTGTTTTCTCGGGTCACTGGGCTCAGCCCCCTCTTGAGTGGCATGCAGAACGCTTTCGTTCCTGTGCTCTTCCCTCTTTGGGCTGGAGTGGTGGGTTTGGCTGGATGGCCAGTTGGTCAGCTTTCTGTCGCCGCAGCATACACCTGAGTCCATCACCTACAGAGAGAAGAGGTTGCTTGGGCAGCCTCAGCCCATGGTGGATTGGCCCTGTTGCTTTGGACCTGTGGTAGCACATCACTGCAGGGAAGTGTGGCAGAGCAAAGCTTTCACCTCAGGGCTGTGGTGCAGAACATATAAACAAAACCAGGAAGAGGAGGGGTGGAGCCCCGGTCTCCTCCACACTCATGGCCCCAGGGACCTGAAGACCTCCTGCTAGGCCCCAACCTCTTCATGTTTCTACCCCCTCCCAGTAGCGCCAGTCTGAGGACTGAGCCTTTTACATGGGCCTTTGGGCAACACTGAGGTTCCAGCTACAGTAGAACATTACAGAAGCCCAACCTTGAAATTTGGCTAACCTCCAGGAGACTTGGCAGTAGGGGGAGGGGTCCCTCTGGCCTGGTGTAGAAAGGGCAGCACAGCAGATCTGGGCCTTCTCAGAACAGAAGTCTGCTGGAGGAGACCCACCGTGTGCTCCAGGGGTAGCTGAGGTGCACTGCCAGGGCTGCGGGCCCTCGGGGAAGGAGGGCCTCGCCATCTCACCCAACAGGAGTTTGTCCTGGAGCTGATCCTGCATGCAAGGCGCCATGTACTTGGGTGAGCAGACGAGAAGGCCAGGGCTCTGAGAGCTCAGATTTGTGGAGGGAGCAAAGGCCAAGAGCAGAACCTGGGCTTTCCCAAGAGACCCGACCAAGGAAGAAGGACATGAAGAGGGAATCCCTGCCAGGGACAAGAGGTATGTGATTGGGCTCCCTGCTGCAGGGGTAGCCCTCTGGCAAGAGGACCCCAGGCATCTGCTGGGACAGGCACTGGGGGCCACGTGGGCTTGACCTTTGTTGTCTTAGAGTAACTTCAGGCAGTTGTTGATCCCAAGGTGGGACTAGGGTACGAGAGGCTTAAATGAGGAACAGCATGGCGACAGCATGGGTACCAAGATCAGAGCTGTGTGAAGCCCCCAGGCCCTGGCCCCTTTTCCGCCACTCTGAGCACAAAGGCAGCTCACTGTGTGCGGGTGTCCCCAGTGTCACCTCTTATACCTTGCTTCACACACCCGTGATTTTATTGCAGTGCTGCCGGCAGGACTTGCAGCACTCCCTGTCGTAGGGCACTGAGCTCCGGGAGCCCCTGGAGGTTCGAGGGAGCTCAGTCCTCAGGCAGCCTCAGGGCAGTGCAGCGACTCCTGACATGCTGCACATGGGCAGCTTCCGGGCAGCTCCTTAGGCTCCGCCTAGTGGCCCACAGGGTGAGGAGTCCAGCATACACCTGTAGCAGTTCTCCCTCCCTTCTCACTCTTTCTGGCCCCCCACTTCTCTTTCCTGGCATCACTTTCACAGTTGAACTATTCACCTATAAACCTCATTGCAGGCTCTACATTCTGAGGACTCCTGGCCAAGATGGCACACAGGTGAGAATTTCTCTCTTCCTTAACAGGCCTGTCCTAGCCTTGGTGAGTTAGTTGAAGGGAGAGTTCAGAGAGCCCTCGCCCTCTGGTACTGTCTGAGAGGCAGTGACAGCACCATGGGAGTCAGAGCTGCCGGTTAATTCCTGGACATCCAGAGGAAGGGGCTCCCATGTTCTTACTACATCCAGTGAACACGTGTACTGAAGAGCCAGCCCAGGGGCCATGCTCTGTAGCCTCCAGGCACTATGCTTCCGGTGACCTCGATATGCAGGGTGCTGACGCTGGGGCAGGGTGCAGAACCACGCTTGCTGCCCTCTGCAGCTACTTCGTGCTGGGGGCTTCATTTGTGCCAGGACCAGCTCAGGGGTGAGCCACGTTTGCTATTTGCTGTTGCGGGTTGGGACCAATCCAAAGGGAAGCCCCCCAAGTGCACTTGCCCTCATCCTAACACAGATATAGGCCTTGAGCATCCCCCAGCCCTGAGCCATCTTGCCACCTTCCCGGGGATTCTCAGCACCTGTGCACTGAGCACACACGTGGGACCCGTCCACTCCCTGGGCCTCAGCTGCAACAGGACCACTCGACCTTTGCATTTGCAGAACGACAAGTTGAGGTGGAAAGCCCTTTCCCTGCCCACTCCTGGGCCTCTTCCTGGGTGTGTGGCACTGCTGTGCATCTGCAAAGCACCTTCCCCACTCCTTGCCAAGGGCACCATCACCAGGCCTCTCCCACTCAAACCTCCCGCTGTGCCTGAAAAAGTGATATTAAATTCTTATTTTATAAATAACTAGCACTGTTCCTGGTACGAAGGCAAGCAGAAGGAAGTTCCCCCATCTCGCCCTCTGAACTCCCAGTTCTCCCCTCAGCAGCCCTTGCAACCAAGTCCTCACACAGCTTCAAGAGGTGTGCCACGGATCAGTTGCAGGTGTGCTGTGCACGCAAACTGCAGTCTTTTTCTATGTAAATAACACACTTTTCGCTCTTCTGTGCCTTGGTTTTTTTTTTTTTTTTTTCGTTTTTTTTTGACATGTGAATGACCTCGTCTTTCTGTTCTGCACATTCTCTTGTCTCATCATCTTCTTCGTGGGGCTGTAACGATTTGTTGGATCCATCATCAGGTGACGGGGAAAAAAGGTCCTTTGTGGTACTAACAGGAAGTCACCTGTCGTTTTCTTTTGTGCAAGTGCTCGTATAGAGTCCCATCTGGCGTGGCCACTCTGGGTCAGTGTGAGTTTACATTCCCGGTACCACTCTGGATTTCCACAGAGGCCGTGCCGGTTTTCTCCTTCCCCTGCTGGGAATGAGGCAGGCTGTTGCCCCCACACACCCTGCCTTACACTCCAGTCAGTGAGCATTTTGACTCAGGTGTTGGATAAGCTTTTCAGCCCCGGGCGTGTGGGTTCCTTGAGGTCAAGACTGTCCTACAGCTGGGTCTGTGGTGCTGAGAATAGGAGGCACATAAATGCTTGTTAGAGGAATCAAGAAACTGGGTGCATCAAGGAGGAAAATAAGTACCTGCTAGCCCTTGGCCTTTGTGGCTAATGATGGACTCCCAGGGAGTGGGAGTCAGAGCTGCCGGTTAATTCCTGGACATCCAGAGGAAGTGGCCAAAGCTCAGAGTTTTCAAGGCCCTTTGCTTGTTTGTTGAGCTACCTGCTATTTAGGTATCTGTTGTTGCCGGAGTGCTGCTAGCATAGGTGTAAACAGAAGAGCGTGTGGTTGTGGATTTGAACAAGTGGGCTTCTGGATCTGGTTTTCAGTCCTCACATCAGTCCATCTCTACCCCCCCACACACAGTGGGCAGGTGTTGAGAGTTGCCAGGATGACAGATTGCCTTCCCCAAGCCTCTTCCAGAAAGGACTTCTCAGAACTGGGTAGAAGTGGGAAGGGACTGTCCTGCCCTGGACAGTCCTGGGGAGGGCATCCTAGAGAAGGTGACAGCTGAGGGGGCAGGAACTACCCTAGGCCAGGGCTGCAACAGACCCTGTTTTAGTGGAATAAATCACCCACTTGCAGCCAGTTTTGTGTGATTCCTTGCAAAGCACCTTCCCCACTCCCTGCAAAGGGCACCATCACCAGGCCTGGCAGGTGCCCAGTAAATGTTTGTTGCTTCCAGAAAGACTTTGAGAGGCCAGGTCCCCTGTTGGGGTTCTTCACAAGCCTGAAGTCTGTGATGCTGCAAAGGCTTCATCCCTATTGGCCAGGTTCGGGAAAGAGGCTTTGGCTCAGGATCAGTGGCATGGTGCAGGCTGAGCCATCCCATAGGCATCTCCAGCTTTGATCTGCCTTGGGAATCCCCTTGCCCCAGGCCTGGGTAGACACATGCATTTCTCTTCCCCAGGAGTACCTGGTGTCAGCACCTTGATCTTTGTTTGCCAAAATTCAACCCCAAGGACATGGGAGGGGGGCCTCTTGATCCTACAAAGACCACTGAGCTATATCCCTAGCCTATTTTTTTTTTTTTTTTTGAACAGTGTTTCACCGAGTTGCCAATGCTGGCCTTGAACCTGAAATCCTCCTGCCTTAGCCTCTGGTGTGATGGGATTACAGGTGTACATCATAACACTTGGCTAAAACTTTCTGTGTAACAGTTGTATTAACTGGCTGCTCATGGCATTTAATTGAATAAATTTAGCAACAAGTATATCTTCTACCATAGATCATCTTGTGTAGCAAATTGTTTTTTAGTAATAATTGCTTAATTTATTAAAGATTATCCTTGCCCCCTAAAGACCAAGCATGTGTCCTTCCGTTTAATCCTTATAGGAACTGACTTAGTTGGCTTTACAACAGTGAATACCTGGTACAACCTACTTACAAATAAAGAGACTTTTTTTATCTCACAGTTTTGGAGGCTGAGAAGTGCAAGTAGCAGGTTCTGGCAGGGGTCCCTGGGCGGTGCTATATCATGGCAGGTGGGAGTCTGCAGGGGAGAGAATATCATCAGAATCTGGTCTGAGAGGGCTGAGCAACCAGCACACATCCTTAGACCTGTGTGCACAGCCATCAGTGGACCACACGAGTGACCCAGGCAAGCCCAGCTCAGAGGCTGGCCCGCAG